ATTCAATACAATTCTATTCTCTTTATATTGTTTTATTTTCTCTCTTAAATTCAACTATGCTGATGTAATACTTTGTTCTAGGGTCCATTTATATGTTTATTAATTTTATTCTAAAAATAAATTTTGTCTTGTAGTTGAACAAGGTTTGAGGGAGCTAAGAAAACTGGGTATTCAACGAAGACTTTAGGAGTCGTCGAGCAAAGAAAATTGACCAGGATACTGCCCTTCATGATGATCGGAAGTCTGCTATGCAATCCAAACGTTCTACTTGCTAATTCAGTATTTGTTATATTTGATATTTAATGGATTAATAACAGAAAACCCCCTATAAACGTTTCCATTTGCGATATTCCCCTTACCTATTAAAAATCACGGAAACCCCCCTATTTGAAACATTTTGTGCGAAAAATTCCCTACCGTCAAATTTGTTGTTAAAAATGACAAAATTGAAAAGTAATAATTGCAATTTTAGTATCTAAACTTTTTATTCTTTTACAAATTATACCCAATTTTTTTTTATGTACCATCCACAATTCCAAACTTTTAAAACTTTATTTTCCACCCCACCCTACCCTACCTCACTTCATTTTCTTTCCCAAAACTTTATTTTTTTTATTTGATCCTTTTCAAAATCCACATACCTTCATCCCAAATCCTTCATTTCTTTTCTTATTTTCAATACTTATCTAATTCTATAAAAGAAAAAGAAATACAGAAAATGAAGTATTGAAAATAAGCTCTACCATTAAGAAAAGAAAAATGGAAAAGGACATTATGCCTTAAAAGAGAAAAGAAGGACTAGTATGCAATCACCAAAATTGCAATTTTTTTCTTATCAGACTTCCCTATCACAGAACTTTATTTCTATGGATAGATGATTGTGCAACACTGGATTGAATCCCAGAGTCAACTCCAATCTAATGTCATCGTTTTCAGTGTGATGGGGCTCCGGTTTAAAGCCCGTATCCGAGTTCAGCAACGAGGGTTCCATTGTTTCAATGGAGTAGGAGTCATGACTAGGGGCTCTCTTCAACTGATCCTCAAAAGCTTTGTATTCTTCAGCGCAATCCCATCCCACTTCGTCTTTCTCTTTTTCTTATTTTCAATACTTCCTTTTTTCTTTTCCTAATGGGTTCATTAGGCTAACAACTGGGAAAAATCTTGGAAACCAAGTCCACCAGAGATACCAAGAGGTGGAGTCCTCACATCTTTGCTAGGATTTGACTGTGCAGCTGAGTTCATTTGCACACCTTCAGCTGCAAAATTTTAGTCCAAGAATGCCATCAGTAACCGGTGGATTTAGGATTGGGAAGAGGGTTTTAAAGTGTAATCTTGGGAATGAGAAGAAGGAACGAGGAATTTGGGTGAGGGATTTAGGAAGGTTTTGGAAGGGATTAAATAAAATAATAAAGTTTTAGGGAAGAAGATGAAGTGGAGGTGGGAGGCAAAATAAAGTTTTAAAGGTTTGGGATTGTGGGTGGTACATAAAAAAAATTGGGTATAATTTGTAAAAGAATAAAAAGTTTAGATATTAAAATTGCAATTATTACTTTTTAATTTTGGCATTTTTACTCTTTTTAACAACAAATTTGACGGTATGGAATTTTTCACACAAAAACTTC